CTTGTACAGAGCCATTTAATATTTCCTTGATTAAATGATAATTATCAGAACGTTTAATTGCTCAAGGGCACCGGCAAGTAACCTTAAACGCAATATTCAAATTGTATATACGTTTTCCCCGGTTATATAAGCTCGGTTCATTTAACAGAGCCTGGCCCGACATCGACCTTTTACTTTGGACGGAAAATCAAACATTGTTCTGTTTTACATACATACATAGACGAACGGACCGATGTTTGCTCTTGTTTTATGAAACCCTTCGATAAGCATCCTTTTTATCCGGCTGTATCTTTCAACGCGTACCGACCATCTCGACGAAATAATATCCGTGGGCAAACTTCGTTTCGCATTCGTTATGTCGGTAGACGAACAGCCCTGCCATTATTTTCACCCCTTACGGCTTCTGTAATCTTCAATATTCTCTCGTCAACCTTCACCCTCGATATTAACCGGAGGGACAGCTGTAGAAATCTCGGCTAGCTACGAGAAATACCCGAGCGTTCCTATTTTTCAATCTTATCGATGGTTTTCGTTTGAGAAATTGCGGATTTAGACAGAAAACTTGGGGGATAAAGAACGCATTGAAATTTGCGTATCTCGGGATTCTGAAGGTTAAGCAAGGTGACAATACTGAAATTCCGATATTTCAAATTTTGGGAAGTAGAACTTTCGATATTTGGAATTGTACAAATTTAGAATTCTGAAACTCTGGAATTACGGAGTTGTAGAATTGTGGAATTGTGGAGTTGTGGAATTGCGGATTTATGGAATTGCCAAGTCGCGGAATTGCGGAGTTGTGGAATTGAGAAGCCGCGGAATTGCGGAGTTGTGGAATTGCGAAGTCGTGGAATTGCGGAGTTGTGGAATTACGGAGTTGTGGAATCGTGGAATTGAGAAACCGCGGAATTGCAGAGTCGTGGAATTGCGAAGTCGTGGAATTGCGAAGTTGTGCAATTGCGGAGTTGTGGAATTGCGGAGTTATGGAATTGCGGAGTTGTGGAATTGGAGAGTTGTGGAATTGGGGAGTCGTGGTATTACGGAGTTGTAGAGTCGTGGAATTGTGGAATTGAGGAGTTATGGAATTGGGGAGTTGTGGAATTGCGGAGTTGTGGAATTGCGGAGTTGTGGAATTGCGGAATTGTGGAATTGGAGAGTTATGGAATTACGGAATTGTGAAATTGGGGAGTTGTGGAATTGCGGAATTGAGGAACTAGGGACCTTAGAAATTGAGGAGGTGTTGAATTGCTGAATTTGGAATTGTCTAATTTTAGAATGGTAAACTTGAGGAATTTCATAGATAATTGAAGATTCTCTAATGCTATGAACGACGGGATTTAAAAGGTGTACAATTCCCCAATTCCACGATTATAAGACAGGGGACTTTGAATTTAAAAAAACGTGAGATTTTAAAATGTCACACCTCCCAAATAAAAATGTCTCCACTCAACAATCTGCACACACAAGTTTTTCACTCAACTTTATCAATCCACTAAAAGATCTCGAATTTGTTTAAAAAAAATGCTGACCGTAAAAGGAAGGATATCGAGAGTAATTTTTTTTTGTTTTAAACGAAATGCACGCACGTGTTCACGTATTACACACGTGTCCGCGTTTGACGGGATTCATTAGCGACGTACCCGAATTGCCAATATAAATAGAGCAAAATAACGAAGCAGAGGCATTAAAAATCTCGGAAACGAGTACAGTGGGTGCAAGTGAATGGCACTTCGGCGTAATGGTAACTCGAACCGTGTAAAATGGGACGAGGCGTGAAAGAATGGAAAAAGATATAGAAACTAGAGGGTGGTAATTGCGAGAGAACGTCGAATGCGAGCAGATTTCAGTGGAAAGAATGAAGATAGAGGGACGAAGATTCACTCTGTCTCTTTGCATTATTAAAACACGAGCCTCCATTAGTATAAAAGCAGCGCAGCTACCCTTTTGTTCATTTCGCGGAAATTATAGAACGAAAGCAGTTCCAACCGTAATTTTCTTTCCTGATAATTGCTTTATTGTATTTCAGAATCTAATTACGGAGCAATATTTCTTTATGATCGAATTGTTCGATTGGTTAATCCATTGATTACATCAAATTATTGTTCGGTAATCACTTGGTATTCTTGCACTTTGATTGAGTTCTATGTAATGTTTGATTGCAATATTCTTTTAATTATTTGGGTGTTGGAAATGCTTTTGCTGCTTTCGTAGAATTTTTATTCATTTATGAAGTAAATTTTATGTGAATAAATTTTAAATTTTTAAATTAATGAATTATTCTAAATCAAACAATGTAAGAACCCAAATAAACAAACACTTATACCTCCAAACGTCAAGAACCCAAAACTTCAAGAACCTAAGAACATAAAAATTCAAGAACCCAAAACTTCAAGAACCTAAGAACATAAAAACTCAAGAACCCAAAACCTGAAGAACCTAAGAACACAAAAACCCAAGAACCCAAGACCTCAAAAACTTAAGAATTCAAGAACACAAGAATAAATTAAGAATGTAAGAACCTAAGAACCCACAAAACTAGACCTAAAAACCCAAACACCCAAAAACCCAAAAACCCAAAAACCCAGACCCAAAAACCCAAAAATTCAAAAACCCAAAAACCCAAAAACCCAAAAACCCAAAAACTCAAAAACCCAAAAACCCAAAAACCCAAAAACCCATAAACCCATAAACCCAAAAACCCAAAAACCCATAAACCCAAAAACCCAAAATCCCAAGAATCCAAGAACCCATGAACCCAAAAACCCAAAAACCCAAATACCCAAAAACCCAAAAGCCCAAAAGCCTAAAAACCCAAAAACCCGAAAACCCAAAAACCCAAAAATCCAAAACCCCCAAAAAAAGAATAAAAAAATCCTAACATACCAAGCTGCGAAAGTCACATAAAACTTTCAAAGAATAAAATATTACTGACGTTGCCGTATAATTTGGTGATTCGGCAACTATCCCTAGATTAGCCGGTATAATAAAGAGGATAAAAATTATGGAACCTGATTAGAATCTCTGGCGTTCGATGTATAGAGGTGCCTTGAACGCAATGATTTCTCTTCATGAATATTCAATGGCTTAATTCGCGATGAGGCCGATCGACGTCGATACATCGTTACCAGGCGATACGACGGATTAAACGATCGGTCGGTTCTTTCGACGCCTGGCGTCGAGCTTCGTTAATCGATCGCATCGCGTATAAACTCGTTACATACCGCGTTACAAATGACGTAATCTATGGTGTCTTGTTTGAACCGTGATTCATTCGATACAAATACGTATCGCTATAATCGTTGTAATAACAATTGAAATATAGTTGTGATAACAATAAACATTGCTCGTTATGAAAATCATCAAAATGTCAAACGTACGCCATTATAATTAGTAACGTCATCAGCAAAGTAGCATAAAACTTGCGTAATTTCAGATATTTTTAAATGGTACACGAAAGCTTTGAAATACTTTTAAATAATACATAAACAAGGGATATAATATGTAATAATTTTATAGAATTAAAATTTGATATATCCAACCTCTTTTCAATGTTTTTATTGAATATAGAATGACGAGAACACGTTTTGTTGTTATAGTCTGTAGACAAAGATGAAATTTATTCACCAGCAAGGAAATATACACCGAGGACAGCTGGTTGACTGCAATTAAGCAACCATCTTCAACAAATTAAAACTCGCCACCCCATTTAACAAACGAGGCGTCCATAACGACCCCGACCCACTTCCTTTTTCCACTTCAGCTACGCATACGCGCGTTCCTGATCAAATTACAATATCCGTTCGCTTCGTGCACGCAAACAAGACAATTAGAAGCTGTTGAGGTGAAAGGCGTCTCGCGGAAATTGAAAGGTATTAGCGATCGCTTCTACAATTCACGATTCAGAGTTTGGGAATTAGGGAATTTTTGGGGTGAGAAAATAGGGATTCAAGATTTTGGGGAGTTGGGTATTTGAGGAGGTACAAATTTGAGAATTTTGGAATTTGGGGAATTTGGAAAATTTGGGGAATTTGGGGAATTTTGAGAATTCGGGGAATTTGGGAAATTTTGAGAATTCGGGGAATTTGGGGAAATTGGGGGTTTGAGAAATTGCAGGTACAAGAATTTTGGGGGATTTGAGTATTTGGGAATTTGAGAATTCTGAGATTTGAGATTTCAGAGATTTAGGAATTTGGAGATGTGAGAATTTGGGAATTGCGGAATTGCAAATTGTGGAACTGGGGAATTGGGGAATTGGAGATTTGGGGATTTGGGAATTGTGGAACGGTGGAATTTCGGAATTGTGGAATTTCGGAATTGTGGAATTTCGGAATTGTGGAATTTCGGAATGGTGGAATTTCGGAATGGTGGAATTTCGGAATTGTGGAATTTCGGAATTGTGGAATTTCGGAATTATGGAATTTCGGAATTATGGAATTATGGAATTATGGAATTTCGGAATTGTGGAATTTCGGATTTATGGAATTTCGGAATTGTGGAATTTCGGAATTATGAAATTTCGGAATGGTGGAATTTCGGAATTATAGAATTTCGGAATCGTGGAATTTCGGAATTGTGGAATATCGGAATTATGGAATTTCGGAATTATGGAATTATGGAATTATGGAATTTCGGAATTGTGGAATTTCGGAATTATAGAATTTCGGAATCGTGGATTTCGGAATTGTGGAATATCAGAATTATGGAACTGTGGAATCGCGGTATCGTGGAATCATGGAATCGTGGAATTGCGAAATTGTGGAATTGCAAAATTTCCAACTCACAAATTAAAATACTTCTGATTCTCTATCTCCCAAAACTTCATACACCTAAAAATTCATCAATTTTCAACCTTGCAAACACAAAAATTCCCAACTCACTAAAACCTAGTGATTCATAAATGATCCTCAAATAAAAGCCACTAGTCAAAGCATATTTGCAAAGGATTGAAAAGAACAAACCGACCATAAAAGCACCGAATAGAATTAACTGAAGAACGGTGTTACCTTAAAGTGGCGGGTCCCGTTCCCAGGTCAAAAGTGAACTGTACGTGTCCCGATGAAAGGTACAACGCGATGAAATCACCGGTTGCGTCGCTATGATGGCCGTTGTAAAGAATAACACCATCTGGAGCGGTGGGTTTCAACGTGACAGCCAATTCCAGCCAAGATAGCGACGTGTCGGCCAATCCTGGATACCGAAGATAAGAAGATCCGTTGAAAGACGGTACCTGAAACCAGAAAATCCATCGACCATGCTTATCGTTACTATAGATACATTTCCTTTCGGGAATTTTTCTTTCAGAGTGAATGATTGGGTTTTTGTTTGAGGTTCGGGTGAGGAGGCGAGGATTTACCAATTTGGGGATTTAGGAAGTTGGGGAAGTGAGATTATGGGGATTTATGGGGAATGGAGATTGGGGGATTTGGGGATTTATGAAGTTTGAGATGTGTGTGATTTTTGGGCTTCTCATTTTACAATTTTGCATTTTGGGTTTCCACAGTGGATGATTAGGTTTTTGTTTTAGGTTCTGTTAAAGGGTTCAGGATTTACCAATTTGGGGATTTACGAAGTTGGGACACTGAGGTTATGGGGATTTATAGGGATTGGAGATTTGGGAATTTAGGAAGTTGAGAAAGTGAGATTATGGGGATTTATGAACTTGGAGATTTGGGGATTTGAAAATTTGGGGATTTAAGAAGTTTGAGATGTGTGTGATTTTTGAGTTTCTCATTTTACAATTTTGCATTTTGGGTTTTCACAGTGGATGATTGGGTTTTTGTTTTAGGTTCTGTTAAAGGGTTCAGGATTTACCAATTTGGGGATTTAGGAAGTTTGGACACTGAGATTATGGGATTTATGGAGTTGGAGATGTGAGAACTTGGGGATTTATGAAGTTTGAGATGTGTATGATTTTTGGGTTTCCCATTTTTCATTTTTGGATTTTGGATTTTCAGTTTTTTTATCTAAATTCATTAATTATATCATATTATATTAATTAATAAAAATAATCAATTATATTAATAATCAATTATATCAATTTATATATTTATATTGTATTTATGAATTCAATTACTACTCTATATAATATATTCATATTTTATATATAAAATACGATTATAAAAAAATATAAAATAAATATATTTTATATATGTATATTTATATTTTTATTTATAATAAAAGATCAATGCATTTTTCACAAAATAAAAAGATTTGTACGTTTCTAAAAATAAAATTGCAAAAATTACAATTTCGAAGCACAAAATCGTTTCAGTAGAGAAAATATCGTAAATCGGGCAATGTTTCATTGGGAGTGCGAGAAAAATCAATGGCTTCGAGTTCGCTAAAGGTCTTCTTTCGCGATTCTCTTCATCGCCGAGCCGTCTGGCAACGACATTATTTCCCATAGCTGACTGCCCACGTTATTTTTCCGCTCTTATCGGCACCGGTCGATTTGCGAAATGACATAGTCACCGAACGGGAAGATCGCTTCGCGAGCAAACTGTTTGCTGACGCGAATACGGTACATTATAGTTACAACGAATTGGATCTTCACGGACATTATTTCTATTTAGAGGAATTTTTAAATTTTCTGGGAATTTTTGAAATTTTTGAAGTTTTGGAAGTTTTGGAATTTTGGAATTTTGGAATTTTAGGAATTTATGAAATTTTGGAAATTTTGAATTTAGGAATTTTGGAAGATTGGAATTTTGGAAATTTTGAATTTAGGAATTTTGGAAGATTAGAATTTTGGAAGATTGGAATTTTGGAAGATTGGAATTTTGGAATTTCGGAATTTTGGAATTTTGGAATTTTGGAACTTTAGAACTAGGAATATTGTAAATATTGGTAATTTTGAAATTTTTGAATTATGGAACTTTGGAATTTTGGAATTTTGAAATTTTGGAACATTGGCATTTTTGAAGATTGGAATTTTGGAAGCTTGGAATTTTGGAACTTTGAAATTTTGAAACTGGAATTTCGGAATTTTGGAATTTTGGTATTTTGGAACTTTAGAACTAGGAATATTGGAAATATTGGTAATTTTGGAATTTTGGAATTTTGGAACTTTGGAATTTTGGAACTTTGGAATTTTGGAATTTTGGAACTTTGGAGTTTTGGAACTTTGGAATTTTGGAATTTTGGAATTTTGAAACTTTGGAATTTCGGAATTTTGGAATTTTGGAACTTTGGAACTTTGGAGTTTTGGAACTTTGGAATTTTGGGATTTTGGAATTTTGGAATTTCGGAATTTCGGAATTTTGGAATTTTGGAATTTTGGAATATTGGAAATTTTGGAACTTTGGAACTTTAGAACCTTGAAACCTTGGAATATTGGAAATTTTGGAACTTTGGAACCTTGGAATCTTGGAATTTTGGAATTCTGGAATTTTGGAACTGTAGAATTTCAAATCTAAAAAAAAATTTTTTTCCGCTACCTAAAATTTTTCCCCTTAGAAACCAACCCTAACCAAATACCACTCTAAAGTCCCCAAAATGGCCCTCTAATAAAATTCCAAAAACACAAGCATACAACCTAAATATTCCCCAAGAAGAAACGCATAAAAGCAGTAATTTTTCGAACATCCTAAACGTTCCCAGAAACAGATATTTCTTTTTCAACTTTGATCTCACTCTACGTTTCTCTCAGGTTCTTTCATCGAAAGATTCATTTTTTTCCGAGTCCTTTTCTTCTCGCAATCTTTCTGCTGTAACCTCTATTCTTCGTTGCACTACTTCATTATCCAGCTTGTTATTTCCTTTTGCTAGAGTCCCCTTTTTTGTTCTTATTTTATTCTACATTCTTTCCCTTCGAGCATCATGAATCATAAAAGTTTCCCTTATCTTCATCTTTTCCCCCATTTTCATCGCGCACTTCCTTCGGCAACAACCACGGAAGATAAGGGAATTTCCGCTTCTGGTAGCACTCGGAACACAAGGTGAGAAGAATAGCAACCGAAGAACGATGGAAACTCGTCGGACCGTTTTCCTTCGCGGGAAATTTACTGAATTATAAATGGTTAACGTTACATTGCCGAAACGAGCGCAATCGATTTTCAAGCAGGAATTCTTTCACCAGCGTTTTTAGTTGTTGAAGAGGTGAAAATAATTCTTTGTAAGCGTCTCATGCCGGCTTTACCTTTATGAATTTCAAATGCTTTATAAACAAAGCGTGATTTAAAGGGAATATAAAACGGTGAAAAAGAATCAGGTATTATTCATTTCACAAATGGATCACGAAGAAAGGGTGGAACGAACGAAAATGATCATCTCGTTAAAACTCTACCTTTTATTCGAACTGTAAAAAGTTTTTATGTTTTTTCTTTTTACGAGGAGACTAAATTTTATATGGTAATTTTGGGTATTGTGGGATGCAATGTTTTCGAGGAATTTTTTTTTCTTAGGCTGTTTTAAAGTTTCGCGTTTTCGACCTTTCATGGTTACACATGTTAGAAATCGAAGGAACTATAAAAATATTCTGCTAGGCAAAAAGGCAAAGGCAAAGACCGATTCAACTCAAGGTTCTGGGGTAAGTGCCGAGAGGTCAAACTCAGTCCTCTTACCAAAGGCAAGGATGCCTTCCCCACTCCGTGGCCAGATCCTTTAGGAACAACGTTCCTATACATTTAGGTAAAGCAATAACAAACTGACAAAGAACACAGTCCTGCGACATCTGATGACCACTTGACTCCAAGTCAATAGCCATCATCTGTCGCCTCACTTAGACTCTCATAAACAACCTCTCGCATAGACCTCACATAGTCCATCCCTATCATAAATCGTTCAAAGGCAAAATAGCACAGGCTAATTGCCCTCGACGACCCTCCAAAATACGTTGACGCTAACACGCCTTATCACCTTTCAGGAAAACGCATTTCAGGACGCGCACCGTTCATGGCAGGGTCGCTGGCGTAGAAGCCCAAGAGCAGTACTTTGAAGAATTTTAAGTATTTGTAAGAATTGGTACAATAAATTTCTTTAAAAAAAATACTTCGCATTACTTATGGAACACACCATGTATGTTGGTTACTATTGACCTGTGCTCATTGCAGAATTCACTCTTCAAATAATATATCCGACCGAAATCTGATATCTGGATTTCCTTTTTCGATGACATGGACATAACGGATGCCAGAAAAGAAATATAACTTGAACATTTCTGTTACGGTGTCACGTGCGCAGTTTATCTTCCTGACTGTGCTTACCTTGCCCTGGGCGTAATGGTCACCCGTTCATCGAAATAAAAGTTGTCGACTCTTGCAATGTAGCAAAACAACGGAGAAACAAAAGAGGAAGAAGAAAGAAAAGAAACCTACCTTAAAGAATATATTCGGTATTAATGCGATAGTGCCAAAACTGGATTTTGGCATTATTTTATTCTGTCAGAATATCGACATTAGTTTAATACCGATACTGTCATCTCTGGATAAATGTAAATGTGTACAATTGCTCACAGTAACATTCAAATATTACAGCAGTTCCGTATTTGTTATTGTACACGGGAATTATTATGATGCTTATTTTACAAAATGATAAATCATTGATTGTAGATAGATAATATATGAACAATTTCTTTTCAACTATAACATTTTGATAGGAAATACATTTTAAACAACAGGTTGTAGTAGTCATATGTTATACATATCGATCATTTCATTAGAAATAAAGAATTTATGTGTAAAGTGTACGGGAAAGACGATAATTCTAATATTTTGATGCAAGCTGTCGATGTTTAATAACCTCGGGTAATCGTTTCAACATGTTAAAAATAATATTGTTCAAATATTCTGAAGGAAAAGGATGTCACTCTTCTTTCAGTCTCGTTTTTAATTTAAGTTCTGAATTTATCCAGACGAACAGAATACAAACACAATACTGCAATAACAATCATGGATTATCAAATCTCTCAACATCAGCGTCTCCAGGTCACATAGCCCTTGGCTCCGCACCTCTCACGTGCCCTGCCCTTGCTAAGACCAAACGCTTCCACACCAAGTGTTTCCCGGCGTCGTAACCTCCACAGCTCCGTACTTTACCTGTACCCTGCTGCAGTTACCGCCACACTTTACCAACATAACGTCCTCTATTCCGCGCAATTCGTGTACCTTTCAAACGTCGTCTTTCGCAAGGCAACATACCAAATCCATGACCTTAATGTCACCCAATGATAGAGGTTCCTTCGAATACATAACGTTACTCTATTCCGTACACGACATTGTCGCCTTTCAT